TGGAATCCTTCGCTCGAGCGTGAAAGCCAAATTCTGGAATTTCCAGATTTGCCTCCCAAGCTCAAACCAAGCATTCAACACATCAAAACTCAACCTTTTGGGCCAATTTTCTGGAAAACATGTGAAAACTCGTAGTATAACATGTCTTTGAAGATCAATTTGTAAAATTAAGCCTAAAGGTAAGCTAATTTGAACCCAAATTCAAATGTAAATATGACGAACAATTCAAAATCATACATGCATGAGTTCCCAAGAACTCTAATGCTCTAAGACATGATAAAATGCAAGATTGCACTCAAGAATATGATCAATTCATGGATCAAAACCAAAATAGAAACATGCATGTGGGAATTTCATGAAAATGACTTCAAAACACTATGATATGGACATACATCCACACAATGCCTCATAATTCAACACTTTGAGCTAAAACTTAACTCTAATCTCCAATATTTCCATGAACCATGCAAGATACAACTTAAATTCATAATTAAAAGGATGAATTCTCTACCTTAGGTCTTGAATTCAAGGTGTGGAAGCTCAAAAACGCAAATGCTCTTCAATACTCCTAATTCTCCAAGCCAATTTTGATGAACTCAAGTTTCATCCTATCTCTCTCTCTCTCTCTCTCTCTCTCTCTCTCTTGTCAGTTTTGGCCTAGGAAGATGGATGAAAATGGTGCCAACATCTAACAAAGAGAATAAACAATGGCCTAGAATTGTCCACTAAGTGGCAATAGGGTAATTTACTTGAACTAATGTGATTTAACATTATTTAATCTAATTTAATCATTCCAAATCAAATTTCAATTAAATCTACCATACAATCACATAAATTCTAATTAACACATAACACAAATCAATTTCTGATTCGGCCTCCAATAAGGCCTTCAATTTGCAATTCGAAATTAAAACATGAACAGATTCATTCATAAATCAAACAGATAGAAATGCATTTAAAACAATACACTCCTACAATCAATTCAGGATTTCATTCTAATCAGTTACTTATCATGCTTAATCACAGATTAGCACTAATCAGAGGTAAGGGTTGTCATAGGCAAACTGTCCTTTCTGCAATGGACAGGGCTAAACTTTCAATCGATACCACTCCTGAGCAGTTGGTAGGATTGGTTTTCTCGGGAGGAGCTTCCCTGACATTAACCTTCACTTACAAGGAACTGTCGCCTGAGGGCTCAGATCATAATAAGCCGCTCTATATCTCTGTCGAGTGTATAGCGAAATGGATACCAGTGGTCCTTGTTGACACAGGATCTGCTATCAACGTTTGTCCGTCGAGGACGGCATATGCTATCGGGTTGAAGCTCGCGGATTTTGTGCCTACTGCCCAAGTGATACGGGCCTACGATAATACTAGCCGAGAGGTGATGGGGACTGCACAGATTTGGACTCAGGTTGGTCCAGGGCAACAGGATATTGACTTTCATGTCTTGGATGTCCCGGCCACCTTTAATCTACTCCTAGGGCGGCCATGGCTGCACCAGGTAAAGGCTGTCTCTTCCATCCTGCACCAAATATTGAAGTACCCCCACGGGAATGGGGTGGCCATCGTTTTTGGGAATTCTTCAATACATCCGCCACCAGAGGTTTCTACACCAGTTCTGGAGATTGAGCATGGCGCGGAGGATGTATTTTTGTCCGGGTTCACCGTACCTGAGGCCGGGTTGTACAGAACATGCTAGCTGTTGATGAGGGGCTATATGTCAGCGCACAGTTTGTCTACCTTATGAACAAGCTCCAGCACATCCCCAGGATGGGATTAGGGCGAAGTGGCCGGAAAGGCATCGCAGCATCAGCCGAAGTGCCGTACAACCCATATACCTTTGGCCTATGTTATCTGCCTAACAAAGAGGATTGGGCGAGGAAAGGAAAAGAGATAGCCGAAAGAACCAGAGCCAAGCAGGCCGGGAAGCATTATAAGTTGATGCACTGACCTATCCAGGGCACCCTGAACGGACGCTTTGTCCGGGAGGGGGAGGACTTCCCGTTCTGCGGCTTCGCAGAGCCATGGTTGAATGTAGAGAGGCGGCGCTTGCCGGGATTTGAGATTTTCTTTGACTTGCAATTGTCCGGGGATGATGTTGCTGAAGAGCAGACAGACCCACCAACTGAGGCTGAGCAGTACAAGGAGGAGGATTCCGAGAGCACAAAAATTGAAATGGGGGTAGCACTGGCTTGTCTACTTTCAGATCCTCAGATCGTACATGAGTGCTTGAGGGATAACTTCTCAGTTTCCATGATCGGGAATGAAACGGCTGTGAGCCCATCTTCAAACATTCTGGATGCATCCATCGCACCCTCTCTCGTCTGGCAATACGAGGAAGGCTTTTTATCGAGCAGCACCGGGTCAGGTAGTGAGCCGGAATCTGATTCCACCGAGTCTGTGGAGTCGGAATCAGGTTCCAGCTCGTCTGAGTCTGAGTCTGAGTCCAGTATTCCTGGGGGTGACAACCCGGATGCCATAGTCCTATTATTAAAAACTGTTAATTAAATTGATGATTTATTAATAAAGAGAGCCATTTGTTATGAAATTAAAATTTTTAATAAGTAAAATTTAATTTCTAAAACTACATAAAATAATTTATATTTTAAACAAACTTTAAAATATGTATTTGTAATTTACCTTAAATAATAAGAGGCGATAAAAGAGAATTCAACTTCATCCACCACTAACATGTCATTGATTCAAGCAATTGCAGACTAGGCCCAAGAGGGGAGAAAACAAAATAATATTTTTACTTCTACACATCTCAATAATGAACACTTCTTCCTCTGATATGAATTATTTATTTATTTTTTTAAGGCATCAAGTTCTTTCTTATGTCTTCTTGGGCGAAGTATTTGAGTCTTTCAAGTTCATTTTAAAAATAAATAATAAATAAATCATTTACGCATTAGCCAATTACTTTATTTTATTTTTCCTAATCCATTTAAGATGTTACTAACCTACTGTGTTGTTAAAAAAATATAAAATCAAATTGTTCAATCACTCTTTAAATTTTCAAAACAAATATTCTATCTTATACCACTTGTGATAAATAATTCTAGAGAGGGGTCAACTATTTTTCACCTGAATTTCAAAATTACCCTTCTTATTTTTTGTTGGAACACCTTATTCCTATTCCTAACTTTTTTTTTCTTTTGAACTAGTTATTCCTATTCCTAACTAATTCCAAGCAAGCCACCAAATTCCCATCTTATTCTTATCCTCGACAAACCCATCCACACTGAACCAATCCAAGCCCTGACCCGACCCATAACTCGCAGTCCCCTCTTTCTTTCTACCACCGCCACCCCTGCAGTTCCCTGACCTCAACCGTTGGGATATGGTGGGTTTCAGACAACAATGGGCAGAGGAGGTGGGGCTTCAAGTGACGATCCAAGGGGTTGATTTTAGTGGTGATGGGTGGGTCAGTTTTGGTAGCGATTTGTTGTTGGTGGCAGTGGATTGCCAAAGTGAAGGGAGATGATCATTGTTGTGGTGGCGGTGCTGTGGTTTGGCGGGCGGTGTAATTGTGGTGGGAAGGTAGGTGATGGGGGTGAGGCTTGTGGCGATGTGATGGTGTGTGGAGGTGAGACCGTGGCGGGGTGTGGAGGGATGGGGAAAAAATGGTTGATGATGGTGGTGTATGTCAAATTACTCAAATGTAGTTTTGCCAATTATCAAGGAAGGTCTGTGTAATTTATCCAAACTATTTTATTTGTTTCTCAAATTATGCTGCAAAAGTACGTTTGATAATATAACTTCCCTAGATTTTTCTATGTTGGTTTTAACCTAGAAAAGGGAAATTATGCCGATTCCCTTCTTTGTCAATGTAATCACATAGAATTGAATATTTAACACTTCATGTTATTATAAAATAAGATCTGAATTTTTGTGCTAAAAACTAGAATGTCTATATTGCAGGTCTGATTTACAGCAACAGGATGGCCATGTATGTCTTGAATAACTTGGTGACCTTCTTGACTCACATTTGGAAGTTAAAGCTCAAGCATGCTGTTGCAATCATGAACATTAAAGGTGGAGCGGCAGGTATCATGGGGTTAGTGGAGGCCGCTCTCATAGATGCTTATCTTGGCCATGCTGGGATGTTGCTCACCACAAGTGTTCTTTACAGCATTGTAAGTCACCGGAATTGTACACACCCCTTTCATTTGTGGCATAGCATTGCTAATTTGCTAGTAGTAGTAGTGAAGATATAGATAAACTACTCTGTTCTGACTGGGAATCGATAACCAAAACTAAGCTAGGCTACTTGTGCATTTGCTGAGGTTGATAGGCAGGAATTGGGTCTTTCCTTGCGTTTTTCATAGGGAATTATACTTCTTAATTGATTCTCACCGATAGAATAAAACAACTCATAATTTAGCCTTTCTAGAAGCCCTTCGGACATTTTCACTTGTTTTCTCAGACAAATTTAGTCATGGTCTTTGGTGTACATCTAAGTGTGAAGCCAAAGCTCTTACATTAGACCAGAAACAAATAAAAAATAAAAATTGGAGCATTAATGAATGAAATTTAATATTTCAACACTTTTCAATTGGTGTATTTATATAAATGATGCATGTAAACAATAACCCTTTCTTACTTAAAAACTTTGAATATGCCAATGAATCAAATTTAACTCAAGAACTCAAATCTTGGAACAATACTATGTAAACCTAACTTTCGTAATTTTTTGATCCAAAATACAATTAAATCTTTGATCAAACACCCTGACCATTTCTTCGGACTATGTTAACCACTAACCTAGGGTGGCCAAACCACCCCAGTGATTCTTTAGTTGGAAACCACTCAAATCTAGCATCAAAATTAGAGTCAATATGCATACACACTTATCTTACATCAAGCTGGTCCAAATTAATTTAAAATATTTTTCAAATTTGTCTCTCACTAATGAATAGAGACGATTTGATGCAGGGATTGGGGTTGCTAATAATGTCAGTTCCTGATCGGTTCCTTTCCAAGGGTGTAAAGTCATGTCCAGCAGGGTGAAGAAATTATGCTCTTCAATGCTAACTGCTTCACCATTCTATTGGGGATTAGCTTTGATTGTTCTTGCCAAGGCTAGTCAAGGAATATGTTTGAGAGCCCTCACCTTTGGTAAAATAAAATTCAAAAGAGATCCACCCAAAATGAAGGAAATCAAATTTGGTTTCTTGAAGTTTCAAGTTCCCCAAAGAGAGATTCAAGACAAAGGAAATGTCAGAAGAATATTATTCGAAATACTTGCAACATAGTTGGAACTACAGGTGGCATCACATGGGTTTTTGTATCGTCAATTTTTGGTCCTGATTGGTCTCATCGGTTTTTGATATCTGCATGTGTAATGGCAATTTGGATCGCTATATTTTTTATTGGATACGCATTCCTTTCCCCCCCTCAACTGCGAGCAAGTCCCCTCACAAACATGTTGTGGGTCTTTCTGGCTGCATTCTTAAAGAGGCATCTTGACTCTACTAAGCCAGGTACAGAATTGAACTATGGGGATGATGCTCAGACACCTCAAGGTCAAGGTCACAACTAGAAGACACCTCGAGGTCCCAAGAAAAGGACGATGCTCACTGATCACTGTCGGTGAGTACACAATGATCATAAAGTTTGTGTATATATTTTTATGTTACCTTTATAGAAATTTAAAAACTATAAACCAAAACTTGGTTGGCATCTGTTTTTGTTTCAAAAAGTACTGAAACATTTTACAAAATGTATAAATTATGATAGCATTATATTTGAAATAAAGTTTGAAATGGTATTCATGTAAGATTTGTGTATTTTTTAACATCTTTGACACTTGTGCAGGTGGCTCAATAATGCTGCAATAAATGTGCCACACAATTTCCACTGATTTCCCATTGGATGGATTAATTGCACAGTGGATGAGGTTGAGGAGACAAAGCTTCTGTTAAGAATGGTTCCAATCGCAGCTACCTTTCTTCTGTATGGGGTAATCAAATCCAACAGTAATACCTTTTCATTGCGCAAGGATATGCAATGAATAGGTCATTTCGTTTCGTATTACGAAAAAAGCAGCATCAAATTCAACTCCTCATTCAAATCTTCCGTCTTATGGCAGGATTCGCGATATCAGCAGTGAAACCTCTGTATAGGATGGTATTTGAACAACGAATAGAGCGAATGAATGGGAGATACTCATCTGGAATGAAGGTTGGTTTAGGAATGCTTACCGCTTTGGCTTGTTGTAAAGTTGCTTGGTTAGTGGAGTATATAAGGCTAAAATCTTTGAAAGAACACGGCTTGTTAGGTCATCCCGATGCCATTGCACCAATATCTGTATTTTGGCTCTCTCCATAGTTTGTACAGATGGGAATCATGGATGGATTAGCTCGTGATGGTATGGAGGATTTCTTCAAGTATCAGGTTCCAGAGTCAATGAGGAAGAGATATGTGCTCGTACTCACTGAAGTTGTGATCGGATGGGGAAAAATACTGAACATAGGGTTTATTATGATATTAGACATGGTGCTCGAGAAGTTGAGAGTTGAAGATGGAAGTTGGATTGCAGACACTGTGAATCTGAGCCGCTTGGATCTTTTTTATGCTGCATTAGTGGTGGTGAGCATAGCCAATCTGTTTATCTTTGCATATGTTGCTAGTTTCTACACTTACCGTGATTTTCCAGAAGAGGAATACAACGAAGAAGAAGAAGATCCACATGAAGAAATTAAACTGGAAAGAAGCAAGACAAGGTGGAACCAACACCTGATGAAGAAACTGACCAACACCTGATGAAGAAACTGAAAGAACAATAAGAACCACCTGATGATGAAGAAAACTTGAAGAGAACAGTAGTGGTAGAGTTGGTCTAAGCAACAATTTGATTTCTTGTGAATGTTCTTTTGAGTTGTTTAGGTTATTGATTCTTTTGGCTAATTAATTGTACGATTATATTATACAAATTTGTGAGCACTTTATATAAGATTTCATGTAAAGACTTGAAATTTATTCTTGTATTATTATCATTATTACTATGTTGATGAATATGATGTTTGATTAATTGTGTATAGATGTGGTATTCCTTTATTTATTTCAAGTCTTCAAAATCTTTCTGAATAAATTACGTGTTACTTTTTTTTTTAATTACAAATTTAATCATGTAAAGTTTAATATTTATCATGTCATTTGAGAATTGAAATTGTAAATTTCAGGTATTCCTGTTCTTCACTCAAATTATTCAAGATATAAGTTAATAAAACAAAACTTGGGAGTATTTTCAAAGCCCATACAATTTTAATTTGTATTTTCAAAAACTCAAAGCAGTTTAAAATTAATTTTTCATATTCAAAATTGTTTTGTGAAGTTTTAAGAGGAATCTCAAGACCCTAGTACAGACACCATGACAGGCACAACACCACTATCCATGGCGGTCGAAAGCATTTCGAATCATGGAGAACTTGAGGAGAGGATCGAGATGACCCAGAAAAGTGCAGTGCCAGCCGGAAGACGAGATACTTTTGAGTCTGCCCGTTAAGTCTCTGCTGCAATTTAGTTGCGTTTCCAAATCATGGAGTTCTTCGATTTCAAGTCCCCAATTCGTGAAAACCAACCTCGGTATGTCATCTAGGACCGACGATGATGATTATATATAGCAGAGACTGATACTGAGATATATTCCCGAATTTGATTTGAAGTCGTGTTCTCTTTACTCTGTATTCAATAATAAACAACCTGAACCTGATGATGATGAAGAAACCGCCGTTGAGCTTGATTGTCCATTTCAAGTAGATGGTAATGCAGTTTTTATTTTAGGTTCATGTAATGGGTTGGTGTAGGCTGGTTACAATCGACATGTTATAGTTTTATCATTATGGAACCCATCTACTAGGAAACACAAGATATTGCCAAATTTGGATGCTAAAAATGGGTTTACAATAGCATGTGGGTTTGGTTATGATAAGTCTACCGATGACTACAAGGCGGTCAGGATCTTTAGTGAGGGTCAGAACCAGAGTGGGGTGGGGGTGGGGGTGGTTGTTTATTCATTGAGGAGGAATTTGTGCACCAAGGATCCTTTAGAGTTTTTTTTTCCTAAAGTTTCCTAAAGTGGTGTATTGTATGGGTGAGATTTAATGCTAAAAAATTGATGTGACTTGTCATTAAATCTCAACCATACAACACACCACTCTAGGAAACTTTAGGGAAAAAAAACTCTAGAGGATCCTTGCTCGAATTTGTGGAGGAGGATCGGAGACTTTCGTTATGGTATTCCTCCGCATCCATTTATTTCAGGATAATTTACAAATCAGGCTCTCCATTGGGTCACCCATCTTGATACGGAATCGAGTTACTCTTCTTGGGTAATTGTTTCTCTTGATTTGGAGAAGGAAACGTATGGAGCAATTGTGCCACCTGATTATGGGGATTGTGTTATTGATTTGACATTGTGTGTTTTAAAAGGATGCCTCATGTGCTCTGCAACTTCTCAACTTTTGTTGATGTATGGGTAATGAACGAGAATGGCGAGAGAGAAACTTGGACTAAGTTGTTCACAATACCATATTTTGTAGTGTCAAGAATTTTCCACTACACATGATTGTGCATTTTGAAGAATGGTGAAATTTTATTGAAATTTGAGAATCAAGTAGTTCTTTACCATCTAAAAGATGGTAAATTTAGGAATCCTGAAATACCTAACATGTGTAACTGTCTTCCAATGGATACCTATGTTGAGGGCTTAGTCTCGCTTGATGGTAATAATTTGGGTTATAGGCAAGAACAGTATCAGAAGCTCGAGAAAGGTAAAATTAGTATATCTTATTATTCCTTGAACACTATATGTTTAACGCACAAAGATTTCTTTTCTTTTCTTTTCTTTACATGGACAACCTTGCTTTTATGTCTATAAGATTTCTTTTCTTTACATTGACACCCTTGCTTTTATGTCTATATGTTAAAACACAAATCAAATAAAAATAAGACACCCAAAAGATCAAATGAGTTATAGTTCTCTCCACTTTTGAGGCTTTTACAATTGTAACATATTCATTTTCTCTCCCGAAGGTTGTCTCTTTTAAGTAAGCATACTGCACCATTCTTGTTATTTTGTCAATATCCATGCCCAATTTCTATCTATCCAGCTTTACCAGATTAGGGTTTTTTAGGGTGTCATATACTTCATGATTTGATTTTGAACTGTGAAGGCCGTTGAAATGGCCTCAATTAGCGTGTGTTGTTACACAAAATAATGCATGCAAGAGAGAGAGAGAGAGAAGGGGCTGTTTTTGTTATTTTTTCGTTTGTATCTGTCTGAAACTTCAATGGAAGTAATTGTAATTTACATTTGATTTTACTTCTATCTTGGTATGCTTAAAAAATGGTCACCATTGCTTGTGTGAAAGTTGATGCCTAAATTTGTTTTTATTTTTTTGAATAGTCAGGGAAAAAAAAAAGAAAATCCTGGCATTTTTGTGTTTGTGTTTCTAAGAGGTGTTTTTTGAATCTGATTAACAGCTTTTCGGATTCTCTTCAATTGGACTCCATTGTTTAGGGCCTATTCTCATCCATTGTTGAAGTTGTCACGGAGCTCCAGCAGAAAATAAGATTTCGAAGTAATAGATATTTTGAGGTGCTATTTCACTACAACAAAAGTGGCCTTTGGTGACAAACTGATTTTGTCTCCAAACATCAAAATTTTGTCACTAAAGTGATATGTGACGAAAAAAATTTGTCACCATGTTCGTGTCCTATACGTCGTCCCACAGTGATTCTTTAGTTGGAAACCACTCAAATCTAGCATCAAAATTAGAGTCAATATGCATACACACTTATCTTACATCAAAGCTGGTCCAAATTAATTTAAAATACTTTTCAAATTTGTCTCTCACTAATGAATAGCAGACGATTTGATGCAGGGATTGGGGTTGCTAGTAATGTCAGTTCCTGATCGGTTCCTTTCCAAGGGTGTAAAGTCATGACCAGCAGGGGAGAAATTATGCTCTTGAAAGCTAACTGCATCACCATTCTATTGGGGATTAGCTTTGATTGTTCTTGCCAAGGCTAGTCAGGAAATATGTTTGAGAGCCCTCACCTTTGGTAAAATAAAATTCAAAAGAGATCCACCCAAAATGAAGGAAATCAAATTTGGTTTCTTGAAGTTTCAAGTTCCCCAAAGAGAGATTCAAGACAAAGGAAATGTCAGAAGAATATTATTCGAAATACTTGCAACATAGTTGGAACTACAGGTGGCATCACATGGGTTTTTGTATCGTCAATTTTTGCTCCTGATTGGTCTCATCGGTTTTTGATATCTGCATGTGTAATGGCAATTTGGATCGCTATATTTTTTATTGGATACGCATTCCTTTCCCCCCCCCTCAACTGCGAGCAAGTCCCCTCACAAACATGTTGCGGGTCTTTCTGGCTGCATTCTTAAAGAGGCATCTTGACTCTACTAAGCCAGGTACAGAATTGAACTATGGGGATGAAGATCAGACACCTCAAGGTCAAGGTCACAACTAGAAGACACCTCGAGGTCCCAAGAAAAGGACGATGCTCACTGATCACTGTCGGTGAGTACACAATGATCATAAAGTTTGTGTATATATTTTTATGTTACCTTTATAGAAATTTAAAAACTATAAACCAAAACTTGGTTGGCATCTGTTTTTGTTTCAAAAAGTACTGAAACATTTTACAAAATGTATAAATTATGATAGCATTATATTTGAAATAAAGTTGGAAATGGTATTGATGTAAAATTTGTGTAGTTTTTAACGTCTTTTACACTTGCGCAGGTGGCTCAATAATGCTGCAATAAATGTGCCACACAATTTCCACTGATTTCACATTGGATGGATTAATTGCACAGTGGATGAGGTTGAGGAGACAAAGCTTCTGTTAAGAATGGTTCCAATCGCAGCTACCTTTCTTCTGTATGGGGTAATCAAATCCAACAGTAATACCTTTTTCATTGCGCAAGGATATGCAATGAATAGGTCATTTCGTTTCGTATTACGAAAAAAGTAGCATCAAATTCAACTCCCCATTCAAATCTTCTGTCTTATGGCAGGATTCGCGATATCTGCAGTGAAACCTCTGTATAGGATGGTATTTGAACAACGAATAGAGCGAATGAATGGAAGATACTCATCTGGAATGAAGGTTGGTTTAGGAATGCTTACCGCTTTGGCTTGTTGTAAAGTTGCTTGGTTAGTGGAGTATATAAGGCTAAAATCTTTGAAAGAACACAGCTTGGTAGGTCATCCCGATGCCATTGCACCAATATCTATATTTTGGCTCTCTCCACAGTTTGTACAGATGGGAATCATGGATGGATTAGCTCGTGATGGTATGGAGGATTTCTTAAAGTATCAGGTTCCAGAGTCAATGAGGAAGAGATATGTGCTCGTACTCACTGAAGTTGTGATCGGATGGGGAAAAATACTGAACATAGGGTTTATTATGATATTAGACGTGGTGCTCGAGAAGTTGAGAGTTGAAGATGGAAGTTGGATTGCAGACACTGTGAATCAGAGCCGCTTGGATCTTTTTTATGCTGCATTAGTGGTGTGAGCATAGCCAATCTGTTTATCTTTGCATATGTTGCTAGTTTCTACACTTACCGTGATTTTCCAAAAGTGGAAGACGAAGAAGAAGAAGAAGATCCACATGAAGAAATTAAAACTGGAAAGAAGCAAGACAAGGTGGAACCAACACCTGATGAAGTGGTGGTCGAGAAGTTGAGAGTTGAAGATGGAAGTTGGATTGCAGACATTGTGAATCAGAGCCGTTTGGATCTTTTTTACGCTGCATTAGTGGTGGTGAGCATAGCCAATCTGTTTATCTTTGCATATGTTGCTAGTTTCTACACTTACCATGATTTTCCAGAAGAGGAAGACGACGAAGAAGAAGAAGATCCACATGAAGAAATTAAAATTGGAAAGAAGCAAGACAAGGTGGAACCAACACCTGATGAAGAAACTGACCAACACCTGATGAAGAAACTGAAAGAGCAATAAGAACCACCGGATGATGAAGAAAACTTGAAGAGAACAGTAGCGGTAGAGTTGGTCTAAGCAACAATTTGATTTCTTGTGAATGTTCTTTTGAGTTGTTTAGGTTATTGATTCTTTTGGCTAATTAATTGTACGATTATATTATACAAATTTGTGAGCACTTTATATAAGATTTCATGTAAAGACTTGAAATGTATTCTTGTATTATTATCATTATTACTATGTTGATGAATATGATGTTTGATTAATTGTGTATAGATGTGGTATTCCTTTATTTATTTCAAGTGTTCAAAATCTTTCTGAATAAATTACGTGTTAATTTTTTTTTTTAATTACAAATTTAATCATGTAAAGTTTAATATTTATCATGTCATTTGAGAATTGAAATTGTAAATTTCAGGTATTACTGTTCTTGACTCAAATTATTCAAGATATAAGTTAATAAAACAAAACTTGGGAGTATTTTCAAAGCCCATACAATTTTAATTTGTATTTTCAAAAACTCAAAGCAGTTTAAAATTAATTTTTCATATTCAAAATTGTTTTGTGAAGTTTTAAGAGGAATCTCAAGACCCTAGTACAGACACCATGACAGGCACAACACCACTATCCATGGCGGTCGAAAGCGATTCGAATCATGGAGAACTCGAGAGGATCGACAAGACCCAGAAAAGCGCAGTGCCAACCGGAAGACGAGATACTCTCGAGACTGCTCGTTAAGTCTACTGCAATTCCGGTGCGTTTCCAAATCATGGCGTTCTTTGATTTCAAGTCCCCAATTCGTGAAAACCCATCTCGGCATGTCATCTAGGACCGACGATGATGATTATATATAGCAGAGACTGATACTGAGATATATTCCCGAATTTGATTTGAAGTCGTGTTCTCTTTACTCTGTATTCAATAATAAAAAACATGAACCTGATGATGATGAAGAAACCGCCGTTGAGCTTGATTGTCCATTTCAAGTAGATGGTAATGCAGTTTTTATTTTAGGTTCATGTAATGGGTTGGTTTGGCCTAGTAGTCGACATGTTGTAATCATTATGGAACCCATCTACTAGGAAACACAAGATATTGCCAAATTTGGATGCTAAAAATGGGTTTACAATAGCATGTGGGTTTGGTTATGATTAGTCTACCGATGACTACAAGGCGGTCAGGATCTTTAGTGAGGGTCAGAACCAGAGTGGGGTGGGGGTAGGGGTGGTTGTTTATTCATTGAGGAGGAATTTGTGCACCAAGGATCCTCTAGAGTTTTTTTTTCCTAAAGTTTCCTAAAGTGGTGTATTGTATGGGTGAGATTTAATGCTAAAAAATTGATGTGACTTGTAGTTTTTTTTTTTTTTTTTTAAATTTGGTGATGACTACTGCTATTGTTGTTATGAAATTGAATATTATATTTGTTTAAATTAATTATGGAACAATATACATGTTTATGTTTTGAAAAATTATGGACAGATTAATGTTGAAATGAAAATGTTATATGATTTTTCTTTATTAATAGATTATGTGAATCTGTGGTTTCAAAGTGAACTGAACCGTGTTTAAATAGTTTGGTTCAAATTGGTTTCACTATTTAAATGGATTGGATTGGTTTCAATTTTTATGGAACCATAGACAACAGATTGGACTCCTTAATACGACACAGCAATGATAATACGACTTAAGCAACATGGTCAAAAATTAATGATTGGACTCCTTAATTGTTATTATGTAAGAGGTTATGCATTTGCCATCATCTTGTATTTGGATTATCAATAACTTATATGCAAATATCTGCAAGGTTTGAAAAATTGACTATTAATTAAAGTCACACAGTCATTCATAGTAGTAGAAAATGGTTTTGTGAGTGCTTTTTAAAGTTAAATTTTGAGTTTGAATCTAGTCATTATATCCTATCTTAACGAATCTTATTTATGCTCTTGTGCTTTTAGTAAGATTTTTAATAAGACTATTAATATATGTAGAATTATTCAAAATTTAATGAAATAATTTTTCTTGAGCCTATTACGTGGCTTATGGTGTGTCCTAGCCCATCAGTACGTGTGGTATTGGGCCCAAAACATTGGCCTAGCATAGTACGCCTAGATTCGTTTCATGCTAGGCCTAACTCTAAATGAGTCGTGTTGGTCTGACTCATTTAATTTACACCTCTACTAGGGACAACACAACACATTGCTAGGGAGAGAAAGAAAGAAAAAGAAATGTGATTTATAGACATAACATTCATATAAAAAACATATTTAGAATGATTTGTCAATCGCATTTATAAAATTATAATGATAATAATAGGTGTTTTGATTGAAAATGAAAAAACCAAAAAGTATCAACTCATTTTGCCCATAATTTCTATATCAAAATGTTATTTGTATGTCAACCACTAAAAAGAAAGAAAAGACATACCATGTATTAAATGAGACTTGCCTAGCAACATCTTTATGGAATATATTAGGAAAAAATCAAAAAATAAAAATTACAAATCGGTCAGGTCTAGACCACAACCTTATGAATTGATTTGGTTTGATTTTCTCAATAAATGGTTCCTGATTATTAAAATAAGTAAATCGTACTTGACAGCTCAGTTTGTGATTTTATATTAAAAAATGGTTGAGAGCACTAAAAGTGCTGCTCTAATAGCACCACTAATGATGTCCACTACCTATGCTATTTTTTTTTGCCTTCCCAATGCATTAGTGCTAATAGTGATTTTTTTTAGTGGTATGAATCATTATTGTTTTATAATTATGGTCTTGATTTGAAATGGAACTGATTTGTTTAAATACACACACATGTATAAATATGTATATAATTTGTTATTTATCTGAAACACTCATAAATTGGACTTTTTTCAATTATTTTTTCTGAATCATATTTTTTACCTTTTTTTCTAACTCTAAGACACAAGTGAGTGGATTTGGTATATGCATTTATGATTGTGGACTCATTGCTTTGTGCCTAAAGTTGAGAAGAAAAAAAAAGAAAGAAATGAGATTATGTATAACATTGCTCATTTATTATTCCATTTAGGTAAATTCAAGTGTCTTCACTTGCCAAAAATACTAAAAAGAAAAATTCAATTACATTCGGCCTATATATTTTCTGTGTATTTCATTGCGCGCAAATATGAAATGAATAGGTCATTTCGTTTCGTATTACAAAAAAAAAGCAGCATCAATTCAACTCCCCATTTAAATCTTCCATCTCATAGCAGGATTTGAACGAAGAATAGAGTGAATGAATGGGTGATGCTCAGCTGGAATTAATGAAGGTTGGTTTAGGAATGCTTGCCACTTTGGCTTGTTGTAAAGTTGCTTGGCTTTGTCTAAGGCGGTTTGATTGTTTGGATTGGATATAAAGATTTTAAGAAGATATGTAATACTTAAAGATAAAGATGACATATAAAATATTATAAGATATGAGATGAATTATATATACTATACAGTCACTTATACTATATTTGGTTAAGATAAGATATAAGAAGGAAATGATTATTTTTAACTTTTAGATTAAAAATGAGTTATATCCGACAGTGGAGATATACAATACGATCCTTTTGCATCATATACTATCTGGACTCTCTATATCCAAAGCAACCAAACATGGGATATAAGGAGGAAAAAAAAAAACATGTAAACCTCATCTCATATTATATCCGGTCTCACACCTATATTTCACTTTTTTATCCGGTAAACAAACATGGCCTGAGGCCTTGTTTGATTGTCCGGATATAACATGAAGAATATAATATGTCTTGGGATTTACTCAGTATATGCAATGAATAGGATATATGGATTGGATAACATATCCCATGCTCATGTTTATTGAGTTCATGATATAATACTGAATATTTCTTATCCATATTTGTTTTACAAAAAATTATGGGATATAAGAAAGTAACATACATTAGTGTCTATTTTGTCTCGATGCCCATCAATATGCAATATATATGTACGTCCATCTAATCAGTTGCCAATATACATATGTATATTAAATAAAAAATATAATCAATTAAGTAATAACATAATCAAAAAATTAAATAATAATATAAATTTGTTTAAAATATATAAGAAACATAATTTAGAATCAATTAAGTTTTAACATTTTTAAAATTATTTTCCTAATTTTAATTGTGTATTGTAAATTCTTACAAATAAAAAATACATGTTATAGTTTAATGGGGAAATTCAAAAATAAAATAAAATGCATATCATAGTTTATTTGGCCCACTTATTTATTTAAATCTTAAATTGGTAAATATTTTTTGAATTAGAACTTTGAAAATTCAAAATCTTTTAAATCAATATAATTATAAATATTTTTTTATATTTAAAATTTAAAAAATTAAATTAAAACTTTGAATCTCAAAAAGGAAACAACATTTTTGTTTATAAATATTGTTTATGTAAAAATTTAGCTGTAAAAAATTAAAAATAAAATTCATGAACATAATTTTTCTGGTCATATGCAATCTGATTTTTAATATACACAATCAAATTTATGTAAAGTTCATATATACACATAATCAAATTTTCCATTGTAAAAGGGTAAAATTAT